AGCAGCCTGTCCAGCAACGACAGCGGGTTTATAAAAGAGCTCCTCTGAGACCTGAAAAACCATCAAAATCTCTCTCTCTTCCTCTCCTGTTTCATCAAAATAAAACCTATTTGAGTAAAAAGACTCTGAAATGTAAAGATTTTCCAATGTAGAAATGGTGTTAAATTACAATAGTATGATGTGATCCAAGAAACTCTAAACTGTGTCAGAAAATGTGCATTAATTTGTTTAACAAACATTCATTGTATTCCCACCAAACGCCAGGCCCTGGGCCAGATGCTGCAGGTTGCAGTGTTTTGGGAGTTTGCCATTTAGTACAGTAGCTCTCAAATGTTACTGTGGATAAGAATCACTTGGGGAACCTTGTTAATACACATTCCTGCGCCCCACCGAGATTCATCAGGTGGGGCTGAAGTTTACAAACCTTCATTTTAACCAGCCCCCAGGTGGTTCTGAAGCAGGTAGCCTTCAGTTGTATCCTGAGAAGCCCTGACTTAGTGGATCTTCAATTCTGATCAAGTGTTTGACTTAAAGTAAGGACTGCAGGAAGCTGGAAAAGATATGTGACTTCTTATTCCTTCAAGAAGCCTTACAAAGACTTCCTGGAAAGGTTTTCTGCACAACAGCACACTGATATGACACCAATTTCTTTTCAAACGGGGAAAAAGACACTGTGTCATCATGTGGCCTAGGAGAGAAGTTGAAAGAGTGTCACTGGAACAGTTCAAGAAGTGTGTGTGTGTATAAAAACTCATCAACTGCATATTTAAGCTTTGTGTACTTTATCATATAGATGTTTACCATATGCCTCAATTTAAAAAAAAAATTTTAAGGAAATGTAAGGCAAATAGGGTAAGGGGTTTAAAGATGTCATTCTAGAGGTAAGTAGGAGGAAAAGGTTGGGTGGTAGCAGGAAATAAAACAGGAAGAAGGGAGAAATTCAGACCTTTAGATGAAGGCACCAAGTAAATCCTCAGCAGCTGGTGTATTAGAAAGAGGGCTGGAAATGGCAGTGGGCAGATGTGGATGCAAATAGGCTAAAGAGTTCAAGTACCATGAGCCAGACACTTAGGGCACAAAAGGAAGGAAAGAAGGAAAAGGGAAGAAGGGAGGGAGGGAGGGAAGGAGAGAGGAATGGGAAGGAGAGAAGGAGAAAGAAACAGAAAGAAAAGAGCCCTGGCCCTAGGGGCAGCTTATAGTCTCCTGGCTCTGACTAGCTATGTGGCCTTGAGCACGTCATTTGACTGCTGCTCCAAGACTATATGTGGATCTGTAAAATGGTGCTGGACCTCTGAAAGTAAGGAGTAACAGAGATGGTGTATGTGAAAGGTTATTTGTAAACTATAAAGGGCTGTCAAATGCTACGTATTATGAATACATTCTGGCTCAGGGTCAGGCTAGCTGCAAGTGTGGATTTGACTATCGTCCCCGTTCAGCTCGCCAAGTGACTTCCCACATCCTCCCCACACCTGACCACCAAACTCAGAGGGATTTGGAGAGACTTTTCTTTTTCTTTGCGGCTCTGAGTTAACTTGGATGTTGCTTTGCGTAAGCCTGAGCATGAGAGTCCTTTCAGCCCCCCAACCTCTTGACCCCCAGGAGCCCCTTCCACCTCCTCCCAGGCAGGGCCAGTTGTTGTCACAGAGGCCACCTGCCTCTTTCCTGGCCTGTGAGTCACTATTTGGAAGCCAGAGGCCTCACCAGAGGCCTCCAGGGACCAAGGCAGCTTGCTGGAGGCCCTCAGGGAAGGCGGGGAAACAAGACAGTCACTAAAATTAAATGAATTGTCTATAAATGTTTTTTAATTAAAATTGTGATTCTTCTTCTATGCAGAAGAGTCTCTTTAAGAACAATTGTACTCCCTGAGTGGCAGGCAAGAGCTCCACAGCTCTTTCCAAAGCCAGGCAGGGAAGGGAGGTGAGAGCAGAGGCGATGGGGTGACTGCTTCTTTCCCCTTTTAAGGATAAGAAAGCAAAAAGGGGAAAGTGGGGGAAGCTGTTAAGGGATCTGCTGGGACTCTCCAGGCTGAGGCTTCTGGGGGAGGGCACTGAGCTTGCTGTGGACCCTGAGGCTGGAATTTTGTTTTCTTTTGTTCTATAAAATTATGCCACCTTCTCACTCCCTTCTCCAGCCCCCTCGCTGGCCCCAGCCACCAGCCATGAAACTGCAGTCAGAACCACCCACGCCTCGGCCTTGGGGCCACCCGGGCAGGCAGAGGAATCCAAAAGGGAGAGAGAGGAAGAGAGCAAGAGAGCGCCAGAGAGAGTATGAGACAAGCAGAGAGACAGAGACAAATTGGAGAGAAGCAATGGAAAAGGGGAGAGACAAGAAGAGACCGAGATCCCCCCAGAGAAGAGAAATCGTTAGAGGGAGCGCAGGGGTCTGCGGGACAGAAGCGAAGAAGAAAAGGGTCGAAGAGGGAAAGCAGCTTAAGCCGGAGAAAGTAAGAAGGGGACAAGGACAGGGAGGGGAAGAGCCACGAGGTAGCAAAGCTGAGGGACGTGTAGCGACTTTGAGAAACAAAAGTGGACTGTCTGGGGGCTGCTGCTGTTCCCAGCAAAACGCCAACTTCGTGGCGAGGGTCCTAAACCCGGTAGCTCCTCAACCTACACATAGCTCAGCAACTTCCCCGCCCACACTGTGCCGCCGCCTCATTTCGGATGCCTCAAGCTGGCGGGTCAGGCACAGCACACGCATGGGGAGTTCGAAGGGCCTGTCTTGTGCGGGTGCCCCAAGGGAACTGTGGGCCTCGCCGCATCACCCAGGTGTGCAGGCGCCACGAAGAGGAGGCTGGCGACTCTGTCGCCTGTGCGCAGCTGGGCCCAGCTGCGCCCGGGGCCGCGCACGGTTTCGGAGTGTACTGGTGTCCTCTCCCCACGCCTCCTAGCTTCCCCAGATTTATTTGCAACGTCTACATCCATCACCACCGCATATGTCCTGGAGTAGAGTGGGGTGGGGTGGGGTGGAGGAGAGAGATCTGTACAGGAATTACTGTTTTCATCTCTTGCTCCCTCAAAGTTTCTCTTTGACGGCGGACTTATTCTAATTCAGAAGAAAGGAAAATCTTGCCTGTTTCGGGCCCTGTGATTGCACAAATCCAAAATACTGCCAGCCTGGAGATGCGGCTGGAAAACTTTAGAAACTGGGAGCGTTAGGAGGCAGGAACTTTAGGGTGTCAGGAGACAAGTTCCTAAATACACCAAGAAACAAGAAGTGGGAGATCGAGGCGGGAGGGTCTGAAGGTCCGACACCATTAGGACAAACAGAGAACGGGAGAGTGAGGCACTCAAAAGTGGAATCAACATCGTAGCCGGCCGTCTCTGTCTCTTGAGACGGAAATGTGCCCCGAACGTCATCTCAAGCGCTCACGGTACCAGTTGTAAGGCCCCCCGCACTGACGGGGCTGCCACCCTCTGCCCCGGGGGTCCCCACGCCGACACTCTTCATTTGCTGGGTCTTTCTTCTTTCTCTTCTTTTTTTGTTTTTGATTTTCTATCCTTCAAATACAAGACAAAAATACACCTCATTTATCATCATAGATATATATATTTCACTCTCACCACATAAATACAAAACATCCAAAAATCCAAAACATTCAGAACAAAGTTAGTAGCCAGGATTCAGTGACACCTACCCGCGTTTGAATCATTCATTATTTTCTTTACTATTTGCCTAAAAAGAAAAAAAAAAAGGAAAAAAAGCTTCCGACGTAAATAATTTACAATAAAATTAGTATTTTTAAAATGCTCTGCGCTCGCTTCGGATGAAGGAATACATTCTAGACACTGCGGCACCTCGCCGTCTGGGTCTGAGGTTTTGGTGAGAAGGCGAGTGGCGATGGCTGTGGGGAAGGTGGTGGTTGCGGCGGTGAGGGGTGAAGCTGGGACGGAGTCGCGTTCCGGGTTTCTGACTTGGGACCACAGAAAATCTAGGGGTTTTTTTGGTGGGGTTTTTATAGGGGGAGAGGTGGGGAGGGACGCTTTTCCTACCCACGCAAAGAGCTGATCTGACGCGGAGACTACCGACCGAGGAGGCCGACCACCCTGCCGTCCCCGGCTGCGTCCCTGCCTCCCGGTCTGCAAAGAGCTGCTCTGAAATCCGGGCGTTTCCTGCGTGCTGGAAGGGTTTTGTGAATCCAGGAGTCGGGGAGAGGAGACAACGGGCACTGATTCGTTTCCAAACCCTGCAATTCTGCCAGGAGCCACGCTTCGCGGTGACGGTGGGGAGACCCGCCGGAAGCCGCACTGCTTGCTCTCCCGGAGGAGCTTGAAGCTGTCGGCTACCGCCCCGAATAGCCTCGGAGAAAAGATTCTGAATTTTCTTTCATTAGCGACGTTGGCTTTTCTTTTGCTTTTCACTTTTAATTTCCTGTTTAAAGTCATAACACCCAGAACTTTAATTTTGCATTGCCCTGTGGCATATTCTCTATCCTGAGTTTTCTTACATCTTCCAAACTCCATTGTTACAAGCAGTTAAAAACTAGTTCCACTTCATTTGGTTTTACGTAGTTATTACTTGTTTTATTGCTGATTAGATCAAATTTATGGCCACCGTTGCCTACCATGGTGTTTGCTTCATTGTCTCCTGGGGTCGGGAGTGGTTGTGACTGGAGTGTCCCTAAAGGGGAGCAAACAGCAAGCTCTGTCCAGCCAGAAAGATGCGTGCGCACCGGCTCTCCCGCGAGGTCCGCAAAGGGAGGCCCAGGGCCTTCCAAAAGCCCTGGTTTCTCTGGCGAGAGGAAGCAAAGTCCTCCTTTCTTGGTCTGATGAAATCTGCCAGCCTCTTCAGCCGCTGGGGTCTGCGTACAGCTTTCTTCTTTCAAATATTCATGAGAATAATCAACGACAGCAGCGGCCGGATCTAGAGCAGGCGTCCTGTGCTGCGGTCGTAGAACCAGTCTCTTCCCTCCAGGGCCGGACATTGGTTGGGGCACGATGTTGGCTAACTCGGGTGTTCTCCCCAATTCTTTGGATTCTCCTGAATTAAGGGGGGGGGGGGGGGGTTAAGAACACGGAGGAAACAGAAAAAAAAAAAAAAGCCCAAATGAGATAATATTGGTGGCAGAGCGTGGTGGGGAAGGAGAGCTGTCAGAGGCCTCGTGGGAGCCGGGAGCTCATCAACGGAGCCCCGGGCGCCTAAAGCACTGAGTCCATAAATATCACCACAATAGATACTATAAATATAAATACAGGGGAACACTTCAAATCAGTCCAGCGCCTTTTTCTCGGCTCCTTCTTTATTGTTGGTCCGGGAGTAAGGCTCGAAGGCCGAGGAGCTCAGGTATCGGGCTGAGAGTTCTTGCAAATTCCCAGCCAGCGAACCGGCCATTGTCAACGGGGCGGTGGACAGGCGGCTGGCGACGGAGCCGAGCAGCGAGGGCACGGGCAGGCTGAAGAGACCGTGGCCGGCAGCCGGTGCGCCCGTGTGCAGTCCCCCTGGCCCGGCGGGCCCGGGGCCCGGAGCACCGCCCACGGCGGGCGGGTGCGGGGACGCGGCGCCGGCGGAACCCGGGGCGGCAGCGGCGGCGGCCGAGCCCGCGGCGGCGCCCGCGCCCAGGGCCGGCAGGCTGGGCCCGCGTAGCGCCGAGCCGAGCGCGCCCGTGGCGCACGGCGGCAGCAGCGCAGGCAGGCCGGGCGGCGACAACAGGCGGCCCTGCTCCAGCAGCCGAAGCACGCTGCACGTGGCCGCTGTCTCCGACACCACCGAGCGCAGCTCCGAGTCCTTGCCCTGGTCCTTCTTCTGCTTCGTGCGCCGATTCTGGAACCAGACCTTCACCTGCGCGCCAGGACACGGGGAAAGTGGAGAGAGGGGCAGAGGGAGATGGGCGTCAAGAGGAGCGGGCTCCCGGGGTGCAAGGGCTCCAGGGCCCCTGCCCCAACCCCAGCCCACCCTGCAGCGGAAGAGGTCCGGCCCGAGCTGCCGAGGGAGCCGGGGCCGCCCTGAGGGGGACATAGCTCCGCTAGGCTGCGCTTCCCGCTTACGGAAGCAGGCCCAGGCCGGCCAGGGATACGGATAAAGTAAAAATGTCCACGAGCCTAACTGGAAGGAAGACCAGAAGGGATTTCACTGGGCTGCCGCACTACTCTCAGCTGGACTTTGGATCTGCGTTTGAGAGCTTACATTTCCGGGAGAGGATGTGTACGGGCTTGGGAAGTGGGGGTGGGTGGGGAGGAGCGTTGCTCTGCCTTTCTGGACCCAGGGCCCTGGCCCAAGCGGCTCGAATTTAGCCCCAGCAACACTACTACTGTTGAAGGCTACATGAGGCTGTTTCTTGCTTGTTAGGGTCAGACTTGACCACCAACTAGCAGCAAGCAGGGAAGGTGGCTGCAGGAGAGAGAATTTGTGCAGGATGGACTTTATAGGCCAAGCTTTCTCCACCTCCTCTCACCTGCTAGCTGTATTGGAGGGTCTGAGCCATACTTTTGTCACTCCCGCTGCTCTCTGTCATGAACTTTGGAATCACGGGAGGAAATCAGGAGGCTGGGGTGGACTAAATTCTCCCCACCACCCTCCCCTTTCACTTTCTCTTCTCCCTCTGCTCCTCTTCAGGCCTAGCTGGTGGCCCAGAATGGAGTTTGGCAGCTATAGGAAAACATTATTGTCTCGATTTTGTAAACTGAGGGGTGGTAGCAGAGAGAAGAGGGAAAAGCCACCATGCCAACTCAAACTCAAAAGAACATCCAATATGTTGTCCTCGGTTCTCAGCTTTCTGCCCAGATCCCAGACCTAAAATACTCCCTACCCGCGCTTCAGGGTGGGCATAGGGAAGACCGGGACTTCAGGGGACTGGTCCTCAGGATGAAGTCTGCCTTACCTAGGCCAAGCTGGTGCCAGGCCCTGGCCGGGCCCCAAAGGGCCTCCACAAGGCAAAGCTCTCAGGCCCTCAAGTGTCCCTGGGCCTAGAGTCTGTATGGCCAGCTCCAGCAGCATCATGCGGATTTCATGTAACGGAAAAGACCTAAAGCACAGTTGGCAGTGCTAGCTCCCAGGGCCCCAGATTCCCTTCCCTTCCCATACCTCACATATCATTGGCCCAGAATATAGGGCCTCCTAGGTGCCCAGAGTGGGTGTTTGGGGCTGGGAATGGGGCTAAGTCCAGCTCAGGGCCAGGGGAAAGCCTTAAGGGTCAGAGCAGCCTGGTCCGCACAGGCAGATCTCAGAAATGTGCACCTTTCTAATCTCTAGTTGTCACCAACAGCACTGGAGCAGAGGGCTTTAGCCCTAGCCTCATTCTTGCAGAATCGGCCTGGGTGCTGTGTAAGGCTAGGGTCCCCAAAGGGGCAGAAATCTGGCCAAAATGAGGTGGCTGAAACAGGGGTTCAGTTTCTCATAGAGCAGAGGCAAGCAGGGAATTCTCAAGACTGGGGTCCAAAAAGAATTCCAAAGGAACAGGATTTGGGGCCTCCTGGGCTAGGTCAAGGTGTGCAGAGCAGGAACGCTGGAAGATTTGGGGGTTTGGGGGAAAGAGATGTCTTATGGAAGGAGAGAAAGCCTTAGGCCTTTTTTCCCCATCCTCCCTATCTCGTCCACCACCCCTGGAGGATCTGCCCAGAGCCAACCTAGGTGGTGAGGAAGAGCTGGCTGGGATGGTGGGGAAAGAGGCTGGCACAGAGCTGTGCGCGGCCTGGCCGCCAGGTACCTGGGTCTCGGAGAGGTTGAGCTGTCGGGCGAGCTCGGTCCTCTCGCGGCCCACCACGTACTGGCAGCGCTGGAACTCCATCTCCAGCCGGTACAGCTGCTCCGCCGTGAAGGACGTGCGCGTCCTCTTGGGCCGGTCCAGGTCCAGGCCTTTGGGCAGGATGATCTCTCGGATGGACCCCTTGGCATCTGGGGAAGGGGAGATGTCAGCCGCCAGAACCCTCCCGTCTCCCTCCACCTCCCTGGCCAGAGCTGGCTTTGGGGACACAGTCGCCAGCAGCCTGAAGTCCGGAGGTTGCGGGGAGGCGGGGGGGCGAGAGGGGGCTGCCACAGCTAGGGAGCAAAGACACTGTGTGGGGGGCGGCGAGGAGGCTAACTCCACACCGCTCATGGGAGGAGAAATCGGACTTGGCCTTTGTAGAGCCCTCCCGAAAAGGGAGAGAAAAAAAATCAATTCCAAATCGGCTGATGTTCCTTCCGGCTTAGGGGCCTCGGCTGCGTGGTCTGGATCCCCGGTATCATGAGGGTTCCCGCACTGACCAGCCCGGGTCCTGACGGCCCCAGTTGTGGAAGGTGTTGACCACACCGCGCTCCGGCGCTCCCCACCCCCACCCCGGGGTTTCCTTCCCTCCCGAGGCCGGGCGGCGGAAGGAGGAGGGACGGAGTCCGGTCCGGCGGGGCCTGGCGATGTAGCTGGCGGGGGCGGCGCCGGGCCGGGGCCGGGCCTCACCAGGGCCGCCGCCCGAGCCAAACGCACATCGCGCAGCAGAACGGGGCCGAGCCGAGCACCAAGGTGGCATCCGCGGCCCGGCAACCCAGCCCGCCTGCTTCTCCCGGCAGCAGCGGCCAGCCCCGAGCTCTGCACTGGGGTCCTCGGCCCAGCGCGCCAACTGGCCGGGCCGTGGCCAGCGGTCGGCGGCTGTTCTTCGGTGCCCGCGCTCCCCTTGGGTGCGTTCAGCCCGCAGACGGGTTCCCGACAGGTCCTCCGGCCGCAGGGCGCGCACAGGTCCTCCAGAGGTTCCTGCTCCTTTCCTGGGTCGGAGGCCGCAGCCTGCAGCCTTGGCCCGCCCGCGCAGCCCCTCGGCTCCCCAAGCAACCCAGCCGGCGGGGCCCCTCGGGGTTTGGAAGGTCGAGGCCCCTGGAGAGCGCGCGCCCCGGTGCGAGTTCCCAGAGGCCGGCCGGACCCGGGGCGGGGAGGGCCAGCAACTTTCTCTGAAGTCCCAGCCGGCAAACCCTCCCCACCGGCCTGGGTGGCGCACAGCTCGGGCTCCGGAGTCGCCCCCAAAGAACGCGCCCCGAAGCCCTGCCCATCCCTACCTCGAACCAGGATCCGGCGGCAGTAATCCGGGTCGGCAGCGGAATTGGATTTACTTTTGTTACAATCTTCCGCGGCGCCGGACGCCGAGAAGGCGCCTTGCGGCTCCTTGAGGAAGGCGGCAGGGAGGTTCCCTTCCGAGCCCTTGCTCTCCCGGCTCTCCTTGTGCGCGTTCTTCGAGACCCGGGCAGCCTCTGCGTCCGAGTGGCACCGAACGTCCATTTTGTCTGGTTTCCCGAACATAGGAGAGGCAAGAGCAACCAAAAAAGGAAAAAGGAAAAAGAAGAAAAAAAAAGAGGCAGAGGGGGAACAAAACCCCTACAATGCAGTCCCTAAGCCCGGCCCGAGAGGCAAGCGGCAAGAATGAATGTCCCCGCGGGGCGGCTGCGGCGGTCGCGGGCGGGTCAGCGGCGACCGGCGAGTGGCGCGTTCGCCGAGAGGCGGCGGATCTGGTCCAGGATCCCGGTGGAGCAGCGGCGAGGCCGCCTCCTCAGCACCCGCGTCCTCTGAGCACGTCCAGTGTCCCCAGCCTGGCGATCAGGTAGCTAGCAGCGCAACTCCGAAATGCTGCGGCTCCCGCCTGTTACTGAGACAGCGAGTTGTAGTTGTCCGACACCCGAGGGGACGCTCACTCGCTGTTGCAATTGATTACGGGTAATTTCGCAGCCCCCACGTTTCGGTTACCTCATGAATACATTAAATTGTTTGGATAATATATCAGATCGTAATGGATGGTTTCTGTCCTTGTCCCCAATCAAGTAGGGGTTTAGCCAGTGAATAAACGGAAATGATTGGTCTTGCTTTCAGGAAACACACAATCAAAGACCCACACTTCCAGAAAAACTTTTGACAAGATTCATCCTGAATTGTTAGTACCATTAGCAGGCATTATTAACTTTCCCTTTGCCTTTGACCCTCCTGCTCACATACTAGCTAGAGGGGTTTTCTCCACACTCGACAGATAGAGCTGAATGAGAGTGGAGGGAGGAGGGAAAAAAAAACACACCACAAAAACCCTTACACACCCTGCAGCAGAAGAAAGCAGTTGCCTCTAGGGGGAAAAAAAAGAAGGGGGGAGGAGAAAAAGTTTTCCCCAAAAGTATCTTCCCTGCGCTCTAAAAAGCCAAGCTTTCGCCCCAGACAACTCCTTCTTAACACACCTCGACGCTGACAGCCATCTTAAACTGCCACCTCTCTTCATTTAGTTCCAGTTGGATTTTTTCATGCCTGCACCTCCAGCAGCCCTGAGGCAGCCCATTCAAAGGGTAGCTTTGTACTCAGAGAGTCCAGCAGGAGAGAGAGGGGGAGAGGGAGAGAGCCGAGAATCTCAACTGTGAGATCTGGTTCAAAAAAAAAAAAAAAAAAGTTTTCCCCTAGCTATTTCATTGTCCCTGCTACAATATCTTTGAGAAAAGCAACAGCCAGTAATCCAATAAGAGCATTGATTAGGCTACAATGATTCAATTCAAGCGCATGGCCTTGTGCAAGGAGCATGCTCCAGCCCTTCTCGTCACCTTGCCGGGGCAGAAGCCCTCTCCACGCCGCTCTCCCCATTCATTCCTTTATGGGAAATGCGGAGCAAAAGGAGTGAAAGATGGCAATTATCTAATTGGACTATTAACAAACAGTCCTCTGAGTGCGGCGGTCTGGCGTGGCTCCTGGGCGGGGGAAGGGCCGTGTTCCCTGCCCTCATTCACAAAGAGTGCAGGGGCCGGGGAGGAAAGGGGGATTTTTAAAGGGAGTAGGGGGTGGGGGGTGGGGAGAGGAGAGGTGGGAGGTTTGGCTGAGAATTTTTCCACACAATTCCAAGAATGGGGGCGGAGGCGGGCGGGGAAGGGGAGGGGGCAGGAGGCGGGGGTCGCGGCGAGCCGGTGGGAGAGAGGGAGGGGGTACGAGTGTGTGTGGTGGGCTCCGGGGGCTCTGGCTCACAGCGAGGCGCGCTCCGCCGCGGCCGCCCAGCCGGACCCCATCGCATGTCCTGGGCGGGGCAAGGGGGCCGCCCGAGCCGGGTCCCCCGCACTGTCTTCCTCCCCCTACCTCCCCCACGCTCTTCCTCTCCCACCCCATGGGCCAATTGGAGGATCCACGCTCCGTCTGGTTCCCGAGGGCGTCTCTGGCCCTGGAGGCAGCCCTTAGGCTTTTACTTTATTTCATTGGTTGGGGGTGTGTGTGTGTGTGTGTGTGTGTGATTGTCCAGAGCTATTCTCCGCAGGGCGGCGGGTTTCCCTGTCTCCGGCAGATGGGTGGCCTGCCAGTCCCCTTCGCCGCAAAGGCGGCCCTCGAAGCCCGACGCCAACTGGGCCTCCGGATGGAAAGTGCCTTTGATCCCGGCTCTCCCCGGGCGGGTCGGTGGGGGCGGATGCGAGTGGAGAGGGGGAAGGGTCCTTGCGGCCGCCCTGTTCTGAAGATGCAGAGTGGGATTTAGATAAAATCCAGCAAACTCTCCAGTTACTTCCCGTAACGCTCAAACGCCCAGGTTGGCACCACGGGGCCCCGAGGACTCCACTCCTCGCGAGCCGAGCTGTCAGGAGGCGCCGCCGCGGGGTCTTGGCTCCCATCCCTGCGTAGCTAGAGCGGGTCCCTGGGATTCGGCCCCTTTCGACGGGGATCCGGGCAGTGAGTGGGTCCCTTGTTTCCCTACAGAGCCCGGCCTGAGGCCGTTCCTGGGACCTCCGCGGGCGGGGTGAGAGTGAGGTCCCAAATCCCGGTCCACTGGCCCTTCCCTGCCACCAGGTGGGAGGGGGAGAAGGGAGCCGTCTGACCCTCGGACGGCTGGCCCTTGCCGGGGCGGGGATGGGGAGCATCCCATCCGCTTGAGGTCCCTTATGCAGGAGGATTTGAGGCCCCCTTATGCCCTCACCTCCTTACCTGCCAAGAACAGTCCCAGTTGGCAGCCCTGCCCGAAGGGGCCTCCTCGGGGTGGCTCCGGGTCTCAGCCACACCCAGCTCCGCGGCCTCCTCCTTTCTTCCAAGGCTGCTGCCGCCCTGGAAACCCGTCCTGACACCTGTGGCTCCAGGTCAAAGGCCCAGAGGGAAGTCTTTAAAAATAAAGATGCCCAATACACCACCTCTTCTGTTAGGTCGAGGTGGGGACCCGGCCAGAAATCGAACTGCTGCCCTCAGAAAGGACGCACCCAGTGGACAGCCCTGGCCCCGGGAGGTCCACGGCCGCATATCCCCAGCACACAGGATAAAGCCAAACTCTGGCCAAGTCCCAAATACTGATTTGAAGGTAGGTCTCCAAGAATAATAGTTGCAGTTTTGTTAAAAGGGGTAACTATTTATTGAACAGTCACTTAACCCGGTACATAAATTCATTTATTTCTTAACTCCTCCTTCAGGGACATTGTAATATCCCAGGAGAGGTTCAATAACTTGTCCAAGTCATACAGTTGGCTGGCAAGTGCAGAATTTTGGGGCGGGGGCTCGTAGGAAAATTGGCCCTGAGCTAACATCTGTTGCCAATCTTCCTCTTTTCTTTTCTCCCGAAAGCCCCAGCACACAGTTGCATATCCTACTTGTAGGTCATGCTAGTTCTATGTGGGACGCCGCCTCAGCATGGCTTGATGAGTGGTGTGTATGTCCGCGCCCAGGATCCGAACCGCCCAACCCCCAGCCGCCAAAGCGGACCAGCCGAACTTAGCCACTCCGCCACAGGCCGGCCACAAGTGCTGAATCTGAACTCGATTCTGTCTGACTTCAAAGCTATTCATCTTCTTCCTTACAAGCCTCTGCCCATTTTTGGTTCCAAACCTATCCCTGCCTTGAGTTTTCAGTGATCTCCCAGTGATCATGGTGTGTATCAAAGAGATTCACAGCAATGACCTGAATGTTAATGCCAGGATCCTGATTACTAGGCATTGACTTTCATGAATTTTATGCAAGCAACATAAAACACAAATGGAGACATGAAATTCTTGTTTCTGATAATGCTATTTATTTTTTGTCATGAGCATTTCTTAAGAGTCTGTCACCCTCCTACATCAAGCTGCCCTGGAACGAAGTACAACTTCCTGGGACCAAACCTCCTGAATGACTGTCTGAGAGCAGTGTCCAGGAATGTGCATTTCTAGCCACCTCCCCAGGGGATCTTTCCACAACTTAAATTCGGAGAATTGCACCTTTTAAAGTTGGGGGACTCTGCTAAGCTTCCTGAGGGTAGGGACCTTTTTTTCCCTCCTCCCTCACTTACTGGAAATACAAATGCTTATTGGGGAAGAGAAGAAAATGGGATATTATGAGAAAACATCTACTTTAATTAAGCAGCCATTACCAAGAGTCTGGAGGTGTCAGATCCTGGGGCAGGACCCAGGGTGGCCCCTAAAGCATATAGGCTGGCCGCCTCTCTACAGTTTCAAGGACAAAGCCTTAACTAAGGGAACTCATTGGCTCTAGTCATGGCTTGGGGTTGGTAGCACAAACAGTGCTGTTGACCAATGCCTGTCTATGTTCCAAGTCCTCGAAGTAACCAAATTCAGCAAAGAAATGGTCAACCCATAACCTGGTTTTGCTTTTTTGTTATGCATAGTACTTATTTGTGTGACTGGATTAAAACTCTGTGGGCATCCAGCCAGAAAAACCATGACAGGTTTCTGAGAGGACACAGTGGAGGACAAAAGCCCTGGGACGGAAATTTCAGAAAAGCAGCCACTCCTCCTAGAAAAACTAAAGCTGTGTGTCCACCAGCAAAGAAAGGAGAGCACTCAGTCAATTATTTGGATAATCTGGGACAATTTTGTACTACACAACACATGAGGACACAGGGCTGCTCCTGGCAAAAGTGTTTTATTCTCTTGACTTAATTTACCTCCTTCCCCAGTGCCCTTCCTGTACCCACCTCACTGTATGCAGGTGCAGACAGACCCCAAATAGAACTGTAGAGCTGGAAGGACTTTTAAAGATCATCTATTCCATAACCTTCGTTTCACTTGACAGATGAGGAAAATGAGCTGGGAAAGACAAAGTGACTTGTTAAGGATTAGACAACTAGTTAGTGGCAGGCATCTGTACTACAATCCTGGTCTCCTGACTTAAAGCTACCCTCCCATCACCACCCGCTCTTTCCAGAACCTGAACAAGATGAATGTTCTCTTTGGGATTGGTGAAATGATGCCGTCTAAATTAACTAAATCACAGTCTGAGCCTTGGGGGGTGCTTTTCATATTCCCTGACTCCGCCCTGTGACTGCAGCAGAAAGCAAGATCAGAGATAGTACACAGTGCTTTCCTTTTTCATCTTCATTTTTTATTCCGGAAAGATGTAGGAGGGGAAAACATGCTGGCAGAAAATCTGAGATCCTCTTAGACTACGAGTGGTTTGGTGACGGCATAACATAATGTCTAAGACATCATTTTAGAAAGAACTACATCAGAGGAGATGATACAACCAGAAATTGAGATTCTGTAACAATGAATCAGGGCACCTGATAATAAAAATGACTAATTGAAAACAAGAATAGCTAGCATTTATACAGAGGTTTTCATCCCAATCAAAGTTGCATGTGGTGATGAATTCAATCTCCTCAAATTGTCATTACCCCATTTCATAGGAGTCAGGACACTGGAGAATCAATTGAAT